ATATATATATATATATACATATATGTATATTATGAGGGTTTTTTAATTCAGTTGTTTTATTTGATCACCATTTTATGATTAAACCGTACAATTTATTGGCATTACTTTTAAAGCTTTTAAATTTTACAACATTGTCCATTTTATGTAGGTATTTATAAGAAAAGTTAATACGTTTAATTAACATTACATTAAAATATGTAAACATTTTATTTTTAGTATAAATAAGTATCTATTTTTAATTTTTTAAATATGTAATTATTTTACACTTGAATTTAATTACTTTTTCGACTTGATTATAATATAAATGCAATGTAAAGTAATGAAATATAATATAAAAAAAATTAATAGGTAGAATATGACGCACGTGTGCAGGGACAAGATTAATGAACGTATCACAGTTCAATGAAATTAATCTTTATCTTAATCTTTGATAATTAAAAATTAAAATATATAATAATAATAAATTATTTTATAAATTCATATCTATTTTAACAAAATAAATTATACATTTAAATATCTATATAAAAGATTTATAGAAGTTTAGGACGCAATATAAACATTTTTATGAACGTTTTGCACATCTTTATGGTGCCTTTCGAACGTTTATGGTGTTTGAATAATTGTATTTAGAATTTCTCTAGAGGGAATTAAAACCGGTATAATTTAGGTCAAATTTTATTGCTCTGGACACATAAAAGTAATTTAAATGATATATATATATACGTTTAAAAGTAATCTAAATTTCTTGCATTTTTTATTTTTATTAATTTACAAGTATCTACAGAAAACGGAAAGTCTCTTGCAAAAGTAATCCGTACAATTTAGTTCTTTATGTGTAAAATAATTACATATTTTAAAGATTAGAAATAAACATCTATACTTATTTATACTAAAAATGAAGTTGTGTATAAATTTTTACCGAAATTCTTATTTTTTCTATTTTTTGAAAGTATTTCTAGTTTATGGTAGATCGCTTTGACGGATGTAATCTGCAATTAATCATTATTATTACAATTAATACACGATAGCATTCAACTTTCCTTTACGCAAATATGTAAGTCTTCGATAAACGCTCGTCGAAATCGCTCCGGTTTCGATCGTTGCCCAGGGATATTTCATTGACCTCGCCAAAGTGTCGCCTGGTTCCTGCGGTCAGGGTCAGTAACAAGCCTTAATCTGCAAGCACCGCTCGTGTTTCTATACAATTGTTCCTACACGATGTTCGACCTCGTTTCACGCACGATCGGTGAAAGCAACAACGGATAATTCGCGAACGGCTCGAAAGTGCTCATTGCGTGTAACCGTACGAGACGCGAACTCTCGGCATGCCGTCAAAGTCAGCCTTCGTGGGCGATTATGCACGTGCGAAGCGGGGCAACGAGATGCATGCTTCTCCATGCATAGATATACACGCATTCGACTAATTAACCGCTTGGACGGCTAGAGAGAAACAATATCCGTCTCGTAATACTATCTCTCGCTTTCGCAATGCCATTTTCGATCGGATTACGTGGCTCGTTACGGATCTTCGTAACATTTTGCTGAAGGAAGTTAGATTAACTGTAATGATATCCGCAATAATACAATCTAATTCAATTAATATAATCATGACTTTATAAGATCTCCTTAGTTTGCGGAATTATAAAAAGTTGAGCATTATCATCAGAAAGACTCTATAATTCGAGGAGATTAGCTTTTACAAAAAATTTAAAATAATATAACTGGATGTAATGAGATCTTTTATTTATTTTCTATGTAAAACGATGTTGTAAGAGTTAATTAATGCAAAAATATTGTTAGAAACAACACAGTTTTAATACATTTCAATTTAATTTACCTATATACATCTCGAAAACTTAACTTTGCCTTTCGTATATTATTTTAGGTAGAATCAATTATATATACTAAATATATTAGTTGCGTACATGTGTAAAAAAATTACTGTTTTTACAACATAAGTGCATGCTTTTGAAAAAAAATAAATTCTGGAAAATACTTTTTATTTTGCATTATCTGAATTTCTATTGACGTCAGACCACATTGTTTATCGTAAATTATACATACACATCTACATTATACATTAAAATTATACATATACATAAAATCGCTGTATTTTCTTTTATATAAATCAGAAAAAGTCTAGTCGGATATCAGAAGTGCATTTTAAGAACCTCATCGGCTATGCGATCCGAACACTATTTCTTCGCATAAACGAAAGTCCCAATCGCGTGTCAATTTCTCCCTGTGGCAGTTTTCTCTCGTGGCGTTTACGCGTTCTCCCCACGTTCGCGAGTGTGTGCATGCACGCTTTAATGCGAATATAGTGAAGAGCCAGGCGTATGCGTCTGGGACGCGCTTACATTTAATTCACGATCTCGTAGACGCGCGTGCATTTAGCGGTCGCGGTGAAAACGCCAATAGCATGCGCGAATGCTATTGAGAGGTGACACCAGAGAGCGAAATTTTTCGCGACTTGCAGCACGAGACTTAGTGCACCAGGATGTATCTGTCATAGCTGTCTCTTTATTCAAAATAATTCTACTGAAAGCAGAAAAGCAGTCTGTGAAACAAAGCGACCTCGTTTCTTCTTCTTTCAGAAAAATGCCAAATATAAGAGATAAATATCTTTAACCAAAGACCGATTTTAAATACCTATGTAATTAATTATTATTTTGTAATATTAAAAAATTTTTTTGTTCGCAGTCAATATTATATTTATTAAATCTACTAGTGTATTTAAGTACTTTTTAGGTCTAATTATTATTGATAGAGTAATATATTGTTGATTCAGTAGTCATCTGGTTTATTTATATGTGTACTTATTTCATGTAAACGCTTTAAAAATTATTATAGTTATTTAATGATATAGAAATCTAGAAAGTCAACTTTCTATATTAAAACAATTGGAAAAATACATCTAAAAATTGCTTTAAAAAAAGTATATATTTTTCGTGCTTGTAAATGTGTATTTTTATCTTTTAGGAATTGCCGAACGCAGAATTGTTTGTTATTATACAAACTGGTCAGTGTATCGGCCCGGCACAGCGAAATTCTCCCCTCAAAACATAAATCCCTATCTTTGCACTCACTTAATCTACGCATTCGGAGGTTTCACAAAAGAAAACGCACTGAAACCGTTCGACAAGTATCAAGACATCGAGAAAGGTATAAAAATATATAACATTTATTTCAAGACTTGTTGAATTTATTATCAATTTATTGAAGAATACAGTAGTGATTATAATTCAATATTGCAGCCTTGTTATAATGATTATATAATTACCTACTTATTTATATGCATATCAATGGCGATTCAATTAAAATGAAATTAAATTTATGAATGTATCAATTAAAATGAAATTAAATTTATGAATGTATCATAAATTTATTAAAAATGTAATGACTTAATGTAATAACTGAATCAATTATACAAAGGAAATTGAAGAATAAACGTTAATCGTCCTACAAGTGTTAAAAATGTTACTTTCAGTTACAACAAGAACTATTTCTAATTTTACATCTATTATATCTAAATATAAGCAGCGTTGCTTCTGTTTAGTTAAAATGCTCTGTTTATCAAGTTGTTTAATGCACTACATTGACAAACTTTGAACACATCATTTTTGATGACTTGGCCGATATTTAACTTTCACTCTTCAATGAATATGTTCACTCGACAGGCGGATACGCGAAGTTTACGGGTTTGAAGACCTATAATAAGAACTTGAAGACGATGCTGGCGATCGGCGGTTGGAATGAGGGCTCCAGCAGATTTTCACCGATGGTAGCTGATCCTGCGAGACGGCGAGAGTTTATCAAGAACTCTGTTAAGTTCCTTAGACAGAATCATTTCGACGGACTCGATCTTGACTGGGAATATCCAGCGTTTAGAGATGGCGGAAAACCGCGAGATAAGGACAATTACGCCGACTTGGTGCAGGTAGATTTATCAATCGTTTCTTACCGTCATAAAAAAGGAAATATCTTGTAGAAATCTCAACAAATAAAAAAGGTGTTAAAGGTTCATAGATAGAAATGTGGATAAACTCAAAATGATCAAAAACCGATTGCAATTTTATTTCAATCAAAGAAGGAGTGAATTGCGGAAAGTTAAATAAAATAATTAATTGTGTGTGTGCGAATTGATAGGAACTTCGTAAGGAGTTTGAGAGAGAATCTTCGAAGACCGGAAGATCGAGATTGTTGCTATCGATGGCGATGCCCGCCGGTGTCGAATATATCGACAAAGGTTACGATGTACCCAGACTAAATGAATACTTGGACTTTATTAATTTACTCTCTTACGACTATCACTCGGCGTACGAGCCCGCTGTCAATCATCATTCGCCGTTGTATCCCCTGGAGGAGGACAACGAATACAATTACGACGCGGAATTGACTATTGTAAGAATTTGCTCATTAAGATCTTATATAGTTACCATTTGAACCAGATCAATTAGTAAGGCGCCTTCATTAATGTCTAACAGGATTATACAATAACTCATCTCTTGGAGAAAGGTGCGTCCGCAGATAAGGTCGTTCTTGGAATACCAACATATGGTCGGTCGTATACGTTGTTTAATCAAGATGCAACCGAACTCGGGTCGCCAGCGGATGGTCCTGGTACCGAAGGAGAGGCCACTCGAGAGAAAGGCTATCTTGCTTATTATGAGGTAAATTTTATTGCACACAACCAATAGAAATAGTTGGATCTTAAGTGCTTGTATAATTTTGTGGGAATTTATATACTACATATGTAGTCCTTTATATAATTATATAATGGATTAGTTGTATTATCTGTGAGAATACATAAAATTTATGAAAGTGCACACATAAAAATTCTATATATTTAAATTTATAAGCATATGTTTTTTTACTTATATATTTAAAATTGAAAATTAAACATTTGTTTTTTAAGATTTGCGAGAGTATAGCAGATTCTGACGAATGGGAAGTTGTTCAACCAAATCCAAAAGCCATGGGACCATACGCCTTCAAAGGCAATCAGTGGGTAGGGTATGACGACGAGGACATAGTCAAATTGAAAGCTCATTATGTGAATGAGAAGAAATTGGGAGGCATTATGTTCTGGTCCATAGACAATGATGATTTTCGTGGCAAATGCCACGGTCGACCTTATCCATTGATTGAGGCTGCCAAAGAAGCGTTGCTTACGGATAATAGGTAACCTTATATACGTATATATAACCATATATGTTAATAAATATTAGCAACAAATATCAATTTAAGAAATAGCACTCTAAACTATATTATTATATTATGATATAATAATTATAATATATAATATATGTATTAGATGTAATAATATTACAATAATTATCTAGAAACACGATAGTGTTTCGGTGTATTATACACGTTAACGTTATTATATAAGTTATCTTAAATATCTATATAAGACATCAAATTAATAAATGATAACACAGGCCCGCAAAAAGGTACCCTGTGCTGGGGTGGAGACCCAACTATTTTTATGTATTTTGAGTCGCTAAATACGAATCTGACATCAAAATAGGACCATCCAGGAAAAATGTTCAATCTAGAGCGAAAATCTAAGTCAAAAATGGGAAAAAAATGGGTCATTTTTTCGCTCTAGATTGAAAATTTACCCTGGATGGTCCTATTTTGATGTCAGATTCGCATTTAGCGATTCAAAATACATAAAAATAGCTGGATCTCCACGCCAGCACAGGGTACTTTTTTGTTGTGAGCCTGTGTAATTGATAAAACATAAAATGTAGATTTTTCTAATTCGAAATATTATTTTTGGTGTTAGATATTTTTTATTTCTATTTATAATTTAATATTATTATATTATACACATAAAAATTATTATTATTATATAGCAGGAATACAATCGACAAGACGAAGTCAGTAGATAGTCGGAAAAAGACCCGCACTCAAAATACGCAAAGCAGCACTCGTAAGTCAAATATAAGCAACCGAAGAAGTAGCACTACATCTGCTCCGATTATCAGCAAACGTGTATCCTCTTCAAGACCAAAATACCGTACCATTTCGCAAGCAAGCAAGGAGGAACAGGAAGATCGGGAAGTATCTAGGAGATCATATGATCCATCATCAGATGAAGATACAGAGGGTAGAAACACTGTAAGAGTCACAGAGAAAATCGAGCGACCGAAGAGTCAAAACAGGAGTAAAACGCAAAGCAGTGCTGCCGATCGTATCACCCGTAGAAAGCATTCCAGACGTAAGGGACAAAACAAGACTGAGAATGAGGAATCCATAAGCAACAAGCTAACGACTCCCGAACCACCAACTACACCCGATCCAGGAACCGGTAAATTTCCGTGAAAATCACGAGATAAACATGTTTTAAACAATGATTAATCGAACGTTTGCTCTCAAACTTTGGAATATCTAAATTTAATGTATAAAAGTATTTGGGATAAAGTTATTTTTACTACGTAAAATTATTACTGGTTTGTATTTTACAGATTTTAAATGTGAAGATGAAGGCTTCTTCCCGCATCCTCGTGATTGCAAGAAATATTTCTGGTGTCTTGATAGTGGTCCCGGTGGACTTGGCGTAGTTGCGCATCAATTCACCTGTCCATCAGGTAATTGTACTCTACTATTAATAATTTTTCCGTATAACAAATCAAACTAACCAAGACTCTTTATAAATCAAAGAATTGGAAAGAATACGGGCGTTAGAAGTCAGGCACAGAAGATATCGCGTCTTTTAACTTTTCTTTCTTTTTGTTTAATTCTGACATTTAAATTCTCGATGTAGGGGAGTTCACCATGACAGGATAACTTTTAGTTTATATATGTTAGTTTGTGTTTGCTCTGAGGAAGGCTAAAAAATGAGCCGAAACATGTAAGCGCGTTTGTTGAATAAAGAAGCTTCAAGCTTCATAGATGTATTATTTGCGCGACGTCTTCTGCGCCTGACTCCTAACACCCGTATTCTTTCCAATTTTTTGATTAATAATTTTTATTACGTTTTAACACTTAATTCTTAAATTATGTTACATTATGAGAAAAAAGGAAGAGATAAGTATGAAATCTGTTATATGTATATATATATATATATATATATGTATATATAAATTAAAAATTTAAATAAATGATACGGATAAAAAATTAATTCAAAAAATTTGAATTTTTTAATATTATTCAGTAAATATTAACTAATCGAGTGCGTTCGAGACGTATTAATAAACGCTGTTAGGGTCTTCTACCTTCATCGGTTGTTAGACATAAAACAAAGACGATACAAATAGTGCTAATAGCGTCTCTCTGACCGCATTCATAGTAACATAACATTGATGTTATAATTTTATACTCTGGGTAGTAGTTATATTATTTCCATTTATTGCTAGATCTGAAACTAGAACAGAAATTTTTGACTTATTCGTCATGTAATAGTTCCTTTTGGGTTTTCACAGGATTGGTATTCAACAAAGGGGCGGATTCTTGTGATTATCCGCGTAACGTAATTTGTCCCAAGACGTCGAAAACATCAATAGTCTCTACCACTAGATCGCCCATTACGGCCGCGACAAGTCGAACAACTTACTTGCACAGCACAACAACCGCAAAAGTGGAATCGGAAGAGTACGATTCGGAAGAGGATGACAATTTAGAAGAGGATGACGAGATCGAGGAAGACGAAGAAGTAGAAGAAGAGGAGCAGGAGGAGAAGAGAAAGGAAGAACCGATGACTACCACAACAACGAGACCACTCGTGTATAAAACACTCACCAGAAATAGACCAAGTACGACTACTACTACGACGACCACTTCGAAACCAAGTGAACCAGAAAGAGTTGACAGCGAAGACGAGGAAGATCCAAGGGTTATCAAAGAACTCATCGATCTTATCAAAAAAGCTGGCAAGTATAAGTTTGTTAAACATAGGTACATATAACTACAATGTGAGGGGGTAAATCCTGGGACAGAATCCTCGAAATCATTATAAAATTTATATAAAATCTCTATATGTATAATCCGATAATTATATATGCAACCACGAGAAATCATTAATATTAAATAATATTAAATAAAATCGTATATTTTACCAAATTACTTCATAGTAATGAAAAAAATTATTTGTAATCAGATGAAATCATGAAATCTGTGGGACAATATTTCAGCTAGTGGTTACCCCCTTGCTACAATGTACCTACTTTTTGATAATTCTATAATATTAATATTCTTTCTGCGCAATTAAAATAATAACTCTAGTAATTTTAATGTTCTTTTTTTTATATTATTTTTTATGATATTGATTTCTATGTAATATTTTTTATGATATCGATATATCTCTTCTGCTAGGAATCTTTTATACAATATTTTGAAATAAATAATTTAAAGAATTCTTTTATTTTAGGCGGAATAGAAGAGTTGGAAAAGCAATTGCTATTTCAAGAAAAGAATTCGGATACCAAATCAGGCAGCGAAAGTGTCACACCGGCTACGATTAGTCGTAGTTTATATGAACGTGTATTGAATCGCCAAACGAACAGAATTGGTAATCATCGACCTGTGTTATCGTCTTCGGAAACCAGTTATGTGAACGGGCCAGGAAGAGCACAATTCGAAGGTTTGGATGATATTCCTGAAGTGAAGAGTCTCAGACGATCACAGAAACCTCAATATGTCACCATCGAAAGATCCAAGTCAGTCACTTGTTTGATTATTATTAGTAAAAATGTTTAATATCACACTTTCTTTATACCACATGATATTGATTATACTTATTAAGTTTAATTAATTTCCATCGTAGCTTATATATTTTTTCTTTTTGTTAATCATAATTTTGAAGAGAAGCAGAAAATTAAACTGAGACCAATGTTAAATAAAACTAAATAAACAACAATGGGCAAATTGTTGTGCAGAAAATTATTAGTTATAATTAAAAATCTTTTTATTACTAGTAAATAGATTCTGTTAATTTTTAATTATAGTAAATAATTTTCTGCGCAACATTTTCCATACTTGATTAAATCCTATATGCCCATTGTTGTTTTGTTTATTTAATTTTATTAGAAGTTTGTTTCTTAAATTTAATTGTTGATAAAACTAATTTTATAAATTGTAAATGTTTAATTCATGTACCTTTTAGTTACAATTCTGATATTGATTAGATCAATCACGAAAGAATCTTTATCCGAGAACGAAGACATCAATGAGGACGAGGAAGACAACACTGATGTAGCATCCTCTGAGGGAAAAAGCATCAGTAATCCGTTGGAAGATAGCTTATTCACTCAACGAGTAACGCCAAGTTACGTAAATATTCGACGAACGCGACCTTCCATCACGACGTCTAAGTAAGATAATTGACAAAATAAATAATTTATCTCGTATATTGTAAAAATATTGTATAGTATCTCTCACAATATGAAATTTTCAGAATCGAGAATGACGTGGAAGGGAAGGAAATTGAAATCGAGGAGGAAAAACCGACTCGCAGACGACGACCGATCGTTTCTTTAAAGTAAACATATTTTCAATGATACAATTATTCGCGCTCTGTTCTATTAAAAATTTATTAAAAATTATTAATATTACGTAATAATTATTTTTAGACAACATGATAATGAAGCAAGCTCTGAAACGTCTAAATCTTTTCGAAATCGTGATTCAGGTTTCAGGTACAAGAGAAAAATTGCAAATATATAATAACATAATATAATTATATGTATAATATATATCTAAGTACGTATTACGGTACATTTATTATTTTTATAAGATTCTCATTTAACAACTTATAATAACTTCAGAAAATCAGAGAAAAGGGAAGATAAAAGCACGAATCAATCAGCAGACAAAGACAATGATTCATCAACAACCAAAACTAGGTTTCTATACATACTTATTTGTTACAATACTTTTATATCAATATGCATTTCACGTTCTTATTTATTTTTTAGGTACTCCAACATACAAAGATTCAGAAGTACCACTTTGAAAACTTCGGAAGGTTTGTCTAGCATAATACCTTTATCGAAGATTAGCGAGACGACTTCACCGACGAAATTAGAAGAGTATCCAGAAGTATTCAGGAAAACAGTTAGTACGACCGCTTCGTTGTCTACGACGCCTGCAACGACTACTTCGACTTCCACCGAGGTTATCACCACAATTAGTGTCGAACCGCCAGAAAATCCATCTAATGTTAGCTCTAGAGCAGACATCGACTCCACTACTGACTCGATGAAACTGGTGGAAGATTCGGCGACGGAGATCTTATTTACAACGTTGCCGGCAATTAGCAGTAGTTCAAGCCAGTCGACGACGACAACAACAACGACGTTAGCAAGCAGATCGACGATCGCCGCGGTGTCGCAACCGCGACCGTTCGGTTTTACCAGACGAAGATCCGGTTCATTAGAAGCAACAACGACGGCTACGACCCCATTGAGCAGGTCCAAGGTGAGTATTACGCCGCGACATCATACGCGTCCGTCCAATCCGGTTCTGGGGCGAGTTCGATTAAGGACGAAACCAGTCAAACGAGTTACCGAGGAGGAGTTAGTGGATCAAGTGGACATTCCGCATGCGGAGACTTCCACATCCAGGAGCAAGGACCTTAGTAGATCATATGGCAGAGGATCCAGCAGGTATACTCCACCAACGTCAAGATCAAAGACGCAAGACGTTTCCGCGAACTTCGTCCCAAGCCTCAGATACAGAGAAAGAGGCAGAACAACAGCTTCAACTACCGTTGGTACAGTTACCATTGATGATGTTAAGAGAAGATATCGAAGACCTAGCAGAGTCAATAACCCAGAATCTATTACAGTTAATGAATTGGATGATAGCCCGATAGTAAGAATAACACAAGGTGGTTCTAGAAAAAATCCGTTATATCAATCGCGATCTGACGAGGAGAATAATAAAATAACGAATATTAGGATATTTAGAAAGCCGACTGTTAATCGTGAATTATATGACAGAACGAAGTACACGAGAAAGAGAAACAACGTGGAAGAGTCGTTGCAAAAAGTAAATAATGACTTGAACCAAAAACACATAGCATCGATGACACTAAAAGCTTTCAAAACAGGTACTTCTGCGGAAACTGACAGGATTGAGGGAAACGATTTGTTGAACGGTGTTGATCAATCAACCGCAAAAATTGATTCCGTCGTTGAATCCAACACTATCCAGCCGATCTACGATTTGAAACCAATCACGCAAATTGATGGAACAACTATATCTAGCAATAAAGTAAATGCGAGTAACCAATCGAAAGATACTGTTGCCACAACGACCACTCGCATCGAAATTCATGAATTCAATCCTGATTTGGTAACGATCGTTTCTACCGAACGCGTCTTTGATGTTGCAGAAAAAACATCGGGAACGCCAAGAAAACGAAAGATTTTCCTAAGAAAGAGACCGATATCATCGAGCACAGTTGTTAATATTATTGAAACAGAAGAAGAGGAAACATCTCAAGGGCCTCGTAGACGAAAAGTGATAAAACGTAAACGTCCGCTTCAAAATACTTCAACATCGATGGAAGTTTCCCTCGAAGAAGAAGAAGATTCGAGTCTTCTTTTAAAATCGACGACTCCAATGGGAAGCGATGAAGATGTTGAAAAATCGACAGTTTCTATTAATCAGACAGAGGTTACTCTAATAAGCCAAAATACTGAAGAATCGACGATTGTTACTGGTTTAACCGGACTTACGAGAGAAATAGAAGATTCGACTTCGACTGTCACGGAAACCACCTTGTCCACCGATTACAACTCTGATGGTTTCATGAAGGTTACTTTGGAGACTCCTGCGATTGAAACCACGACGATATCAGGCGAAGATATTCTCAGTACTGCTACCATACCAACGATTAACACAGATGCTGACGAGATTCAGCGGTCAACGATTGAAATGGATACCGAAGTTACAATTGAATCAACATTGGCGACAGCCACTACTTATAACACTGAAAGCATGTTTTTAGAAGATACGTTAATACCGTCTACTGAAGCTGAGAATTTATCCACTACTCGCGTGCAAACCACGTTGTCCACATCGGATTCAGATTCAGCTACCACTCGTACACAAGTAACTACTACACCATTTACGACGGAATCAGATTCGTTTTCAGCTGCAAGATCGAGTTCCGATTCGAGATACGCGCGTAAGAAGTTCATTCGCAAGAATCCTGTATCATCTTCAGGGAACACCAACAACCAATACATTCCTGCGCTGTCATCAACGGAAAACAGCAGCCTTGAGATTCTCTCAAAACGCAAAAACTACTTATTTATTGGACGTTATCCAGTTTCTTCTAGCACCGTTAATATACTTTACGATGATCTTAAATATAAGGAGGAGAAAGAAGGAGAAGAAAAAGAGAATACAAGCAGATCTCGTGACTTGGCTAGACAGGACATTGTAAACTCAGGTACGACTCTGAGAAACAAATCGATTTTGACAAATGGTTTTTCGGATGACACCGCGGAATTCTGGAAACATTATACCACGACTTCATTAAGAGGTCAAATAAATTATCCTTCAGCTTATATTGAAGATGTTGAAGACCGTAAAGTCGCGAGAACAGAGTTTATAGAAAATAATACGTATCGATTAACACCGATTGTTACTCGCGGACCCGAGATTCGGCCACGATACAAGGTTCCAATAATATTGAAGAGGCCATTCGATCCCGAAGAAGCTTTATCGCCGAGGCGATATCCTCCGATAGATTCTGCACCTGAAGAATCCGAGGAGACACCAGAGACAAGGGATGCTAGGCTGAGACAATCCGGCTTCCGGCAGCCGCGAATGCGTTATAAGCTTCTAAATCGGAACAATGTTAAAATCGAGGAAAAAACTACGCAGCCGAGTCCAGAATCTACGAGCACTTGGCAATACTTCAGAACACGTTCGTACCCAAAACGTACGTCGACCAGTACGGAAGCGGCAGTCACGGAGACTCTGATACCGATGAAAAAATTTGATTACGTTGCGGATGCTTTCCATCGGAAACAGCAATCACTGAGAACAACGACGCTAAGGAGCAACGATTTTTTTGACTCGCAAAATTTAATTGATCCATATTATACGCGTACCACAGTAAAACCATCAGTAACTAGATTGGTGACCTCGGTAACAGAGTCCGGCACCACGGAGCGGCAGAAGATCCTCATCAAGACCAAGTATTCGTCACTGACATCGACCACGAGGATACCAGCGGATCAATTCCCTCCAACGACTCCGTTGTCAACTTTGATGACTGGAGTCAACGATGACTCTGCTAACGAAGTTCGTCATGGTGTCGAACGATCCACCTTGCCCATCGAGGGCGAGTTCAATTATCGTCATAATGATCGATTCACTACAGAATCTTACGAGTCTTCGACTATCGAGATCGAGTCAGTATTCAGCAATCTGATCACCGGCAAGGGCTCCGCGAAATAATAGTATACGAATGTCGTTACTATTTATCAATGTAGTCAACAATAATGTACATAGATCCAGCCATTAAGTAATTAAGAAACCAATTGCGATCGCCGATTTATCGGAAGGAACGTTAAAGTGTTAGTAGACATTTAAAGGTCACTAATGTATATAACACTCTTAACAAACTTAATTATATTATATTTAAGATTGTTCTATGAAATGGACATTAAGTATAACTATGTGAATCAAAAGGAACGACAAGGACTCGTTATAGCTCACGACGACCGACGACTGAATAATCGTCTTCACGCATCATCCTCACATCATCAATAATGACTGAATCATAACGAGCACCTTCTTCATCCGCTTACTCAGAGGGGAACCTTTGACTGAAACCTCTGATAACTTTCTCGATGATGTACTTCTACTTACCACAAATACAATAATCATTAAACACTATCGATGTCCTAGGATGATTCCTTAATCGATCCAAATTAACGCAGCAAGCAAGACACGTTCGCGGCGCTTCAATAGATAACTAAAGAGTCTTCCTCTTCATGTTCCTTCTTTTTTCCTCCAAACTGGCGCAGTTCACGCACGGACAGAAAGACAGAAAGAAGGAGACTGCAAAGAAATAAACTATGAAGGGAGAGGACAAGGAGAAACAGAGAAGTCCTTGAGAACCTCCGTATTAAAGCGCGCTGCTTTATTCTGATTTTCAGGTCGCCGATTCGGAAGCTATTAGGCTGCCGACTCTGAAGGAGCTGATTGGCTATCCGACGACTTACTACGACGATCGTACTGCTACGACGTCGTCATCCGTACTCTTGCACTTGTTGCGTAACGATGTGGACAACGATATTAGCCGGCAGAACGTCGAGGAGTTGTTGAGAGGAACAGACGAGTCTCAAGACGGTGAAAAAAAGATCGCCCAATCACCGAGAGACATAATTGAAGAAACCGGCGATTTGTGGCTGCAGCAAGCCTCAGAAAACAGAGCGAGATCTCGCACTTTAAGAAAGGATGACGTTACAAACTTTGATGAACGAGTTTCAGTCACGAACACTATTCAAGAAGACGAGACTAAACGAAAGACGTCTACCAATTCGATCTATTTGAAACCAACGACAATGCGCGGCATTTCTCTCGTTAGTTTGATTTCCAGTCCGGTAATGCGTGGGTTTTACATCACCAGGAGCGAAAATGTATCATCGATATTGATGGATAGTTCTACGCCACTTTACACAACGACTGATATTCCCGTTGAACAGCAGACGGAAACCATTTTAATTTCCGACGTTTCTATGACTGATGGGACTGTTACTGTTGCTTATAATGATCAGATTGAATCGGGACCTAATATTCTCGACGACAATGTAAATATCAGTAACGACAAAGGTATTGGTTTTCGCGAAGAGAAATATTCCGTACCCAATTCTTCAATGACTTTCTCGAACGCTGAGATTTCAAATCATAAAAAATCTGACTTAATTACAATTCTTGTCGATGGACCAACGCCCAAGAGAGGAAAATTGTTGCGTAATTTTGATCATATGACGCCACTTTTTAACTCTTACGTCGCATCTTCGACAACGCCGACAAGACGAAAAATCGCTATCGCTGTAAATAGATACAACGAAGCCATCACGCCGTTGTGGACGGGCAGACGTATAGTGGCAAAGAAAAGAAATAGGACTACTGTTTCACCAATCAAGGACGCTATAAGACGAACGGAGAGCGATTCTATTTATGCCTTGACGAATACTTTAAGAAGCGTTTCTCTAACTACTGAGGCTTCGACTTTGGCATCAAGAAATAAACTTCCTACGGCTTCGACCATATCGACAACTTCTCTAACGGAGTTCGATGATTTCACGGCATCTCCTGAAATTTTAAGCGTTTACAATAATCTTGCGAATTCTAATGCCAAAATTGAAGACTCGAAAAGCAATGTAACTGAGACAATGACTTTAACAAATTCAATAATCGCAACGACTCCTTCGATTTTCAAAACTATTCCAACAAATGCCACAACTGCTGATATTTCAACGTTTTCAGATGATTCTACAATTATGAATGTTCCTGTAGTCAACGCGTCTGTTACATCATCGACGATAGCAGTTTCAAAAGCATCCACAGTTGCGGCTGAACTTACCATAATCTATACACCCACAACTATAAGTACTGAAATTGAAACTACTCCAAATTATTCCGTAACTGATAATCCAATAATTGAGAATGCAATTCTGACTGATCCTGCAACTACGATTACGTTCGCAGTAAATACTGAAAGTGAAATTCCTTCTACAAATGTAAATATAATTCCAGAGACTACTACAATTGTAACCGATCATGTAACTACAGTAACAAATACTGGAGTCGTAACTATACCAGTAACTGCTAATGCGCAGGAAATTGTAGATGATTCTACAAATATGACTAGAGTGCAAATTGCAAATGCTAATATTGGCACTACTTCCTCAATTACAAATTATTTCACAGATGCAATTCCAACAACTATAAGCATGCACGACGTTGTAACTGATTCTACCTTAGTTACAGCTGCGAGTGCTACAGCTGAAACATTTTCCATAACTAGAAATTATTCCACATTCACTACAGTTAAGAATGCTACGATTCCCATTACTACTTTACCATTAACAACAGTCATTCCTTTAACTGTGAACACGCAACATATACATGCAACTACACCCATGACAACGAATAATCTCGCAGATATAAATACTGTAACAACAAATATAATGACTACGCCTCTTAATGTAATTATTCCAACGATTACTGATCTTAATGTAATTACATCGCCTATAAATACAAACATTCCTTTCATTTCTTCAACTAGCGAGATCTCACCAATTACGATTCGGCCTAAAAATAGTTCTGTGACTTCGCCCAAGGCTCTCATTACGAATACAGACATAACTTCAACAAGTTCAGCTGTTTCTACAATTTTAACGCCTGAATCCTCTACAATACATCTTGCAAATTCAAGTAATTTTAATATTAGCAGCAATTCCGAGATATTAGCCGTTACAACAATTGCAGAGACTACTGAAATTACTGAAATTCCTATAACGTTCGAAATCCCTTCAACATTTACTTCGACAGTGACCGCATATCCAAAACCTCATTCTAGTACAAATTTCGAAGCATTATCTGTTGTAACAGCTACATTGTCAACCCAAGGGGATGAAAATTCCTCAACTCCAATAATCACTCAAACTCCTTCAACCCCCTTTTCGATCACAACATTAATTACTAACAAAACGACTGTAGCTGTAGAAAAATCTACAGCTTTTACGACGCCCTTTGCGACTACTGACGAATTTGCGATAAACTCCACTATTCAAACAACTACGGACACTTATGAATCAGATTTTGTACAAACAATAAGTGAAGAGTCTTTAACGCTGGAACAGAAGACAGATTTTAAGGAAACTACGTCAATGAAAACACAAAGTCAAACTGAAGATCAAACAATTGCGACCATTAGCAAATTGAGTTCTGCCCAAACAATGAGGAACGAGTTTACAGCTCCAGAAATAAAGGTGTCAGAAGAAACTATTTCAAAGATTACAGAAAACCAAAAACAGAATCAAACGATTTTGGAACTCAACACAACCAATTATCAATTTAGTCAAAAAACTGCTAAACGTCGCGTTTTAAATCGAACAAACAATTGGCTTGGAAGTCCTACAACACCACAAAGAACTAATGAATATCCTCGACGTCAAGTTACATTGCACCGTAGACGATCACAAAGACCTGCTACTCATATTTCGTCCTCAAAAGCGATTGAGAAGAATCGTGAAAGAAGAATCATACAGAAGAGAATCAGAATTAATTCTAAAGCGTTCAATAATACTATTAGATCCGATCAGGATACTGTTGATGTTCAAAATATTACTGATTATACTAATGATCAGGTAAAAAATATGAGAAGGAGAAAAGTTGTACTGAAGAAAAGAGTCAAGGAAGAAATGAATACTATTTTACCCACAGAAGAAACAACAGTATTTCTTCAGACACCTACCATTATTGGGAACGAAACACTTCAAACTTATTATGAGAATGAAAATATCAAAGAAAAACAAGAAGTTATATTGAAACAATCTGAAGAAAGTTTGTCAACAACAAAAAACATCAGTACCAATTCTAGTTCTGCTAATGAGAGTTTTCCAGATAATATTCAAAATAATCTTTATGTACCTAAGGATTTTTCTAAACTAGAAAATCCGAAAAATAAACCTAAATCCGAGGAAAAGAATCTAATCGAAGGAGAGAGGGTAGATTTTGATTCTATCAATACAAATCTAAGAGACAATTTTCCGAAAAGTTCTTACTCAGATAAGAATCTTTCTGACAAAAGAATCACAAGAAGAAGGATGAGAGTTGTATTGAAGAATGTCAGATCTAAAATTGAAGAGAAGAATTCCACGATTGAAGAAATAAATGTGAATCCTGATTTTGCCAATAAAAATTTTCAAAATAATTTTTTAAATAATCAAAACATAAGTCAGAATTTTTCCAATGAGGAAAAAACAAGAAGAAAAATGAGAGTTAAATTAAAGAGAATTAAATCTAAATCTGAAGAAGAGGAGACAAAGACTGAAAAAGCCGGTACAGAAGATGATTTTACCAATGAAAGTCTCCAAGGTACTTTTTCTAATAATTTTTACAGCGCTAAGAATTTTCCCGTTGAATATAGGACTAGAAGAAGAATGAGAGTTGTATTAAAGAGCGTCAAACCTAAGACCGAAGAAAAGAATCCAACAGTTGAAGAAATAACTGTAGAGCCTGACTCTATCAATGAAAATCTTCAAGGCACTTTTTCAAATAATTTTCGCAACGCTAAGAATCTTCCTATTGAATATAGGACTAGAAGAATGAGAGTTGTATTAAAGAGCGTCAAACTTAAGTCTGATCTGGAAAAGAATTCGACAGTTGAAGGAATAACTGTAGATCCTAATTTTACCAATGGAAGTCTTAGAGACACCTTTTCAAATAATTTTCGGAAAAATTTTCCTGTCAAACATGGAACTAGAAGGAGAATGAGAGTCGCATTGAAAAGCATTAAGCCTAGATCCGAGGAAAAGAATTCAACAGTTAAAGAAACGAGTGTAAATTCTGATTCTAATTTTTCCGATAAAGATTTTCAAGATAGTTTTTTAAGTAACCTTCATGAGAATCTTTTTAATGGAGAAGACGCACAAAGAAGAATGGAAGATGCATTGAAAAGTGTCAAACCTACATCCAAGGAAAGAGATTCAGTAGCTGAAGAAACAAATGTCGATTCTAATTTTGCTAGGAAAGATTCTCAAGTACTTAACACATTACACTTTTTAAGTAATCTTCATATGGGCGATAATCTTCCCGACAAGAAAAAGATGATGAAGCATTCTAAATCCGAGGAAAAGGAGGCGATGATCAAACAGCCGGAAGACACGGAGTCGCAGACCACGAGGACGTCTGTTCCGGTCGAGAAGGATACCGATCGATTCTCGCTCGAGGTCAGTGCAGCTTTAAGTCGAAGATCCACTTTAAATTGATAACATTGTATTTTCTTGATCGCATGTTGCCCTAACCAAAACGGAAACATAAGAACGAAACGCTGCAAAAACTAATGAGGAACCCTAGTAGAACTGACTTACTACTACGAGTATCACCACCTCTTCTTGAAGCTAACCAAAAGACCTCTTGAAGCATGATTTTCTCGCAGAAATCATCATTTAATGTCTTACTTTCAAATCGCCTGAAGATACCTCTTACTCAACATATAATCTCTTCTGAATCCGCTTTTGGTGTCTAATCGATCGGTATACTTCTCGGAAAGACTTTAAAGAATAATGCAAAGCGGCAGTGCCATGAAGATTACTTTCAACCGCTTAATATAATTATTCGTTCGATTGCTGACCATAATCGTCCATATTTTTTGATATCAAGTCAAAATATAATTTATCAATTAATAGTATATGAACATGATACGAACGATTAATCTGGAAGGAATTGATTGTAATTGATTATAACTTCCAATTAGTGGCTTCTCTTGAATGGCAGTTTGGCAAAGTCTCGGTCATCGCCTCTCACTGGATTTAAGTAAAATACTTTCCGTGAAATAAAAGGAGTTACATTATCATCTTTTACGCTACTACGTCATCATCATATTTCTAAGACATATTACTCGCCTACGAAAACGCTCTTTTTCCTCTGACTATTAAAAACCTATCTACTCCGCGGATTAAATTGGAAACTTAATTTTTCTCTCTGAGCAAATATTTGAGACGCGAACGGATCAAGGAATATCTTCATTTACTGCTATTTCTTCCTAGCATTACAAATTAGCAAATATCTTTTTAAAAGACGCGCATTTTTGTGAACGTCCATTTACTTTTTCTGATAAATTATCTTCAACGTTTTAATGCCTGGATCAATGATTAATATATCTTAACACGTGGAACATCGCAAACAACACAAAATTCCAATACAACTTAGAATCTAAAAGAGTTTAAGAGATCTTCCAGGCATTTCTAAAAGAATGATTGAAAAATTAAAAAATCTTTTACAATACGTAAAAGATATTTGAAGAATATTTTAATGATTAAAAAGCACTTTGGATAAGGTGTATAAAAAAAATACTAAGAAACATATTCATATCTCTTTCGATAAATGTGCGTATTTGTTTCTGAAATTTTAACAAATGTAACATAAACTACATGTTAAATGCACGCATTTGTCAATAAAGTGAGGTATGAATACGGATTATAAAGTAGATATTAATATAAATGAGATATAAATATAAATAAGAAACTTTTCGAATTCTTTAAAAGACTTTTAGATGTTTGTGTTGTCTAAGATATTAGATTTTCTAGAGTTTCTTATTTATCTTTATCATGAATCTATTGTAAGAGCTTTGCTTTGTCAAAATGTACGAATGCACATATGTGTGTGTGCATTTAACTGAATTGATGATATTGTAATATTGTGATATCGGTTTGTATTATTTCTAGTATTATAAATCAATATATAAATCAATTGTATCTCGAGCAGGTGATGAACGGTAAATCGATTAATCGCAACTCAGAAAGTGGACATTCTAATAGACGTAGGAAACCGACGCCGTTCACAACGATCGCTCCACTAACCAACACCTTATCGAATACCGTTTATCGAAGACGTAGACCGGTTGAGACCACAATATCATCGAGGATAGATTTCGTCGGTAGGTTCACCTAAAAGTAGCATTCATTTACTTCGTTTATTTCTAGCCCATATTTTTAAAAAAATTTAATTTTGTCTTTCCTGTTTTAATTTTTATCTTTTTTTCGAACCATTTCTTCTTTCAGACGCATTCGAAGGCACCGAGTCCTATGTTAAGCCGGCTGCCGTCTTGCATGATCAGAATGCAGACGTATCCGATCAAAGCATCCGTGCCCAAGAATTCGCGGTGACGCTATCGGACCCGCCGTCCTCGACGTCAGACATTGGTACATTATATTTGCTAGAAACCACGCCATCCGATTTTCTAATTCTTCTAATCTGAAGTCCATATACTAAGTTCATCATATACTTCATTCTCTTCACGGACTACATCGGGTAGCTATGCGTTTTTAATAGCAATCGATTTATTTCAAGACCGTCGCGGCCAGCTTCTTCGTTACGGGGTCATTTTTGATAATTGTGTACGACGGCCCTAATAATCTGCCTTGTCAGCTCCTCGACTTACGTCAAATCGTATGACGCTAGCTAATCGCTCAAAAGACTATCTTCTTAAAAATATGGAATCTTCGCGATAACGTCATCATTCAGTCAAATAATTCATTCATTACACATATCTTTTTCATGATTTTCGCTTCTAACGTCTATTTTTTGTTCTCTATTTCTTTTCCGATTGCGCAATTCCGCGATTTATACGCGGCTCTCTTCTGAATTTGTCTTAATTAATGTCAGCCGTTTATATTAACGCAATTGTTAATTTCCACGCATACTATCAATATCGTCTCTTTCTCTCTTACGGCCATATTTATTCACAATTTGGCTTTGCTAAGCGAATTAATCACTAATCGTTGAATTCATGCCATTATCGACAGACTGGACAGTACATGGCATGAATCCTTCAATCGAACTATGATAGGGTTTAAATGGTTAGTTGGTTGTAAAATGTCGACTTTCTCAGGAATAGCTGTTTTTGTACCGTTCGTTGGTACTTATTCTAATCGGATTTGTTAACACGATTTTACATAGCACGTGCTTATGATATTCCTGACAAGGTTATCGAGACGTTCGTCTCTTCGTCTTTCAGTCTCTGTGCAGCTATTGGCTCTCATCATCTATCATTGATTGATGTCTTACTAATGAATTTCGATCTTTTCACTTCGACGCGCTCTCTCACTATGGGAATCAGTGACCTGCTTGCCCTCTCAGTAATATCGAAGTGACAAAAGACTAATCAGGTTCTATAACTAGGTCAAACACCGTTAAGGGATGTCGATAGGCGCAAGATAAGCACCACCGTGATACCTAGAACAGATCCTACGACCAGTAGGACAGTTTCAAGGTATGATACGAACTTTCGAAGCCGCCAGAGATCTCAGACGAAAGACAGGGCTACGGTGAACGCGACTACAAGGCCCAGAAGACCGCCAGTAATCGACTATGATTATTACGAGGATGAGGCGCCGATTGTCATCGGCAAATCCGTCCTCAACAGTAAACTCTTCCTCACGAGTAAGGGTACCATACGTTGCATGGATCAGGGCAACTTCCCGCATCCGTACTCGTGTAAAAAATTCATCACTTGCGCTCGTATGGTGAACGGTCAGGTGATCGGAACCGAGTACACTTGTCCCGACAAGCTGTCTTTCGATCCGGTCGGCGGTATCTGCAATTGGTCCGCCGGTCTCGGTTGTAAGGACTAATAGAGGCTTTGCTTCAATCACTCGACAGTTCAATAGAAAGAAGTTATTTTATAGGCTCGATTACATCAATATCTCCTAGAATTCTCTCTCTTTTGTCTCTATTACAAACTGAAAAAAGATAGTAAAAGTGTTAAATTAAGTTTAATATTGATACAATTAAACCAACCTTAATTTTATCTCTTAGAGTTAAATACGCAAACTTTATGTTTTCTCTGCATTTATGTAGATAATTTTTAATTATATTTATATCTCTTATTTTTAATTATATTTATATATTAAGGCTGTATTCCAAAATTCATTCAATGCTGAGAATCTGTAGTATACGTAATGTAAATTATAAATTTTTAGCGCTGGCAGTAATTTGGAATACAACCTAAATGGTACACTATTTATTTCCGTCATATGTGGAATATTTTTAAGAAAATATATGACTGTCGAGTGATTATCATTGCGACGTCTCGGAAGACGAACTTTCGGATACGGCGAATCACTTGGCTTAAAAATTAAGAAAAAGGAATTTCTAATATTGCAAAATATAAAAAATTCTATTAATAGTAAGTGTAAATCGACCGAGATATGATCAATATAAATAAGCTAAGAAAGTCATATTCGGTTAAAGCAGATTGTTTTACTGCCTAATGATTTTTGTGTGAATCTTATAACTTCCAATTCAAGCAAACTGAATTTGGAGACGTAAGATTACAAATTAAATTGACAAGCAATTTAATAAATTTTTTACAGCATTTTTTAAGATATACATTAGTATCAGATTATTCATTTGTCAATTTATTAATTATTATAATTTGTGATATTACATATTCCAATTTTTATTTAGGACTGTTCCAGTGATAAATAAATGTCAATTAGCCATTGAACGACATCGAATTGACGTCAAAATTATCATATCGATGTCGATTCAATATCAATTCGACCAGTCATTTCTTAACTGGAGTGTTTCAAGACCGACAAATAATCAGTGCAATTTGTTTGAACTGGAAATTATAAGATTTATTATAATTTCCAAAAATATTATTAGATCAATATTCGCTTTGACCATATATATGTACATGACCTTTTTCGCTTCTATTTTAATTCACTCTCTTTTCACGCATGTAGCTCGAAATAGTATTACTTTGAAATGGTATTACTAGACTAACAAAGTTTACTATCGTTACAAGATGATGAATAAGAGTATTCTAGAGAAATCATCGTCAAAATTATTACAGTATAGAATTATATGATCAGAAAACAAGCGTGAAATAACTGGATTATTCGTTTGAGGATACTGGATTTGATCCGGTTATAATGAAACAGATAGTGAAAAGGCTATAATTCCACCCAGTTCTTCATTAAAAAAAAAAATTTTTTTTTTCTCTTTTTTGGCTAGAAATATAGTAGTATTGCATCTCAATATTGCAACACACATATCAAATAGAAGTTTTCATCTAACGGCTTTCATCTAAAAATTAAAAAATTTTTTTTATCTTTATAAAATCATTACACAGTAAAAAATCTTGCGTCCATATGTAGAATTTTTCTTGTGTTACCACATTTTGATTATTACTTCAATGTAAAATTAACATATAACTGAGATATGTTATTATTTTTGTAATACTTTGATGTGTTAGATTCATATCACCTTTCTAACTTAACATTTGCTTATGTCAATTAAAAATGTTATTTTGAATGTTTTTAATACAATTGTTTCAAGTCAATCTATATATCTCAAAGTCAATTTAACATCTAAGAATTTTTTCATTTACATTATACGAAAAATGTTTTATTGACATTTTCTTATGAGTTACTGCAACTACTCTTCTATGTACTCTACTTATTTTATATATTAGTTTTAAATCACCCTTAAAGTCAAAATAACAAATATAAATGTAAAGTATTGTGTCAATTATTTAACATTACTAGTTCGTTAATAAATAACACAAGACGAATGAGTTATTTTAACTTAAAATTTAGAGTGAATCTCCTGGGACATGTAAAAAATTAACATTTTCTTTTTTACTGTGTAGTGACCTGTAAAAAAATTGATTCATTTATAGTCGTTGACCACGAAGTGAGCTATTTTCAATCATTTCAATGAAAATGTATTTCGTCTACTTATTGTACGACTGTGCAATAGCCATATAATCGAGCGAAAACACAGAGCGGTGATATTATCGTTAAAGTCTCTTTATGTAAATATTAAGTGTTATAAGTAGTATATAAGATAAGTATACTTTCCGCGTTTCGTACTAGCGCAAACTTATCTGTAAATTTTTTCGATAAAGTTCTTCCTATTCGATAAGTCTTCTCGCTAAAAAAATATACGATAAATCTTACTAAACTTTCATTGACTAGGCTTGTCAAGTACATTGGATCTGTGTGTAGGTTAAAGATTTTTGTACATGAAATAAAAAGCTGAAAGTTGTTTAATTACACACACACACACACACACACACACACACACACACACACACACACACACACACACACATGTGTGATTGTCTATTATATATTTAAAAAAAATAAGTTGTAAGTTGTAATAAAGGTAATATAAAATTTGGCATCATTATTTTACATAAAACTATTTCACTTTGATTTATTAAAGGAAATTTTTCAGCGAGCATGAACAAGAATGTCATAATGTGACATGTTTTATCAGTGAAGAATATGTAAACTGTATCGAAGATTTTTATTTTGTACGTGAAATAAAAGCATCGTTTAACCACACATACGTCTCTGTTGTACATTTCTTAAAAAACGGGTCATAATTAAAAATAAAGGTAATTAGCTGTAATAAAATATATACTACATTTACACGGCATGCTTTACGCCGAAGTTGTAACATCGATGTTATGAAACTGGCCAATCATAGCTATTCCTCTGAAGAATGGAATGACTGTGATTGGCCAGTTTCATAACATCGATGTTATAACTTCGGCGTAAAGCGTGCCGTGTAAACGTAGTAATAGATATTGTGACGTCTGAAGAGAAAAAGAAAGAATAGGTCACGTAGGATTTGCTCTTCCAGAGACACTTATCATATAAATTATTTAAAATATCAACTTAATTTGCTATATAAAAAACGGTAATCCGAAAATGGTAGGTTGAAAAACGGTAAGTCGAAAACCGTATATTATCACTTGACTATGAAGTAAGAATAAGGAGACCTAACTAGATAGGATAGGGAGAAAAAAGTTGGTCACAGAAAATGTTCCGTATACTGCCATGTTTGCTGAACGGAATAACTTGCAACATTTCATCGCCATATTGAGCGACATTCATATATGTACAGTGTCACATTTAATTGTGTTAGTGTATTATATTTAAGTGTATAAGTGTAGATCGAGTTTAATCTGTTTGGTAAAGTTCAGAGTTTCTGTAATTTTGTACATTGTTTAAAGTATAATTTAATTATATTTTATTTATAATATGTATATATATATATATTATATATATATATTGAATGATATAATTTTGATGAAAATTATAGAATTACTTTTAACATAAACTTTAATATTCAGCTTTTATAACCTATAATTGCTTGCATGTGAAATGAATATAAATATTTAGATATGAATATGTTTTATTCTCTTAATAATCAGAATTCGTATATTTTCTAAGTACATTCCCACACAGCAATGGAGATCTATGTGATATACTAAAATCAATTCGGATATACGAAATGTATCTCAATATATCTTTAAGATATCATCAGTATATTATGACTATATCATGAATACACTTCCTGTATAAGATATTCAGGAGATATCTTACCCCGAACAAAGTAAATGTGTACAATATATCTCAGAGACATTCTGAAGATATCTAACACATAAGAATCTTCCAGTCGTTTCTAAGATGTCTCTTTATATATAAAACTTGTAGAATAGTACGTAATTATAATGTATGTACATATATAAGGGCATAATTAAAGAAATTATCTCTTCAGGTGGTATTTATCTTAGAACATATACTACTGGAAGGAGCATAGGCTC